GCCTCAAAAATATTATAGCAAAAATTTCCTTAGAAATTAAGTGATGAAATTATTTGTATGTTTTTTTTTTTTTTTTTTTAGTTTTTAAGATATATAAGTTTAGTGGCTAATCGGATTGGACACTTGCGCACATCAATACCAATCAAAGTATACTGGTCCAATATTTTATAATTGTGAATTTCGGGATACTTTGTATATTTACGCAGGGAATTTTGGAACGACTTAGGCTGTGTTCGTAAATTCACTGCCAGTACTGAAAATCTATAAAATACGTTACGTAGACTATATGTTTTCAGGCAGTGAATTTATGAACATAGCCTTAGATTGGAATTCATAACCGATTCTTATTTCAAGACCGTCCTCAATTAGCATCTTAAGATGCTTAAGATGCTGTTCTGCTAATTGGTTGATAATATCTAAAGATAATACTTAAAACTGTCCTAGTCTCGGTCCACAATAGATACGTAAGTTTTAAGCTTTTAATTATTTTTTCATAAATCGATTATGATTGGCCAATTTCTTAAGTTTTACTATGGGGAAAAACCAATCATATCAAAGATTTTTACGATAATTGTAAAGCTGCTTTTTTCGCTGAACGCAGCCATTATTTGATGCCTAAAAGCGGATGTACTATGTACGCGGAGTTCTCGTTTGAACGTTTTATTGTTGTTCATACTGTTCAAAGATGATTTTGATCTGCGCTATTTGTCGCGGTGTCCTAAAGATATCAATCGACGATATCTTTTTCACTCCGTGCGGACATCTGTTTCATTTCCAATGCCTGTCACAGTGGTTGCAAAGGTAAATTTTTTTGTTTGGTAAGGTTCTACCGGATAAAATTGAAGGGTGCTTCTACCCTAATGTAATCTTGGATAATCTAGTGCAAGAAAAATCTTGTCATGAATTATATATCCTATTTTGACTATCTTTATCTTTATCTATTTATACGAACTATTAAATGATTCTGTGTTAAATAATCCTATATTATTCTGTTAGTTATTTTTATAAAGTTGTACATACACAATATTT